TTGCTCGAGATCAACCAACAACTTTACCAGCAATACTGATCATGCAAATTTACCCGAGAACCTTATTTTATAGAAAAGCTGATTTCCGATCCTTATTTATATGTTACTAATTGTCAAGGAGAACCTGCAGACCTTGATCTTTTCTGTATGTGAGGAAAGCAACTTCTGTGCAAGAGCTGTCTGTTCATCAATGGTGCTAATCTCGCCTCAAAAGTACTCGTTTCCAAGGGGCAGTGTACTTTGCTGTGGTTCCCTGTACAGTGCTGCACATCACACACTGTTACAACACTAGTTGAGAGAGTTAAATACTCATCACTTCTTCAATGTCTTTAGCTAATGCTACTGCTTTTGATTCAAAAATGAACTAGATTTTTCATGCAGAACTAAGATTGGATTTAACTGGCATTACCATTATTTAAATGCAGAGTTTAATGGAGTCTAACATTGACTAAGGACTCCGGTGATATAATGTGGTGCTTTATCTCAGAAATTTTATGGAACGGTGGCAGGAACAGATGGACAGTTTACCAGGCTTTGGTGACTTTGGTATGTTCCCAGAATATATGAGATATGTCAAAAGCAAATAATTTTGTATTTAAAATTTTTGTACTGATTTGAAAAAAAAAAATATCTTATTAAATATCTTTAAAAAAAAAAAAAATCCTTTCTTCATTCAGCAGAACTGTTAGAAGGGACATTCAGCCCACTGAATTCACGTATGAGAACACAAGGACAAGGGGTGCTCCTCTGGGTCTGTGCCCGCCTAAGAGGCCGGAGCTGGCTGTGCAGGCTGGGAGGTGCACACCACGTCCCTGCCTCTGCCTGCCATTCCCAAACGGCTTTTCCCATTCCTCCCCCCCCCCACCCCCACCCCGGTTTTCACCTGCAGCAAAAACCCCGTGTGAAAGTGGCAACCTACTTGTCACTGATCTACACCACGCTTCAACTGCGGCTCCACCGCGGGGAGTAAAGTGTAACCCGCAGTGTGGCTCACCCCCACCTCACCTCAAAGACCAGCATTTCCTCCCAGCCGGCCAACCCCTGGACTGTCAGTACCAAAATGAACGCAGTGAACACCTACTCACGCCAGGTAATCGTTTTCTGAATCTGCCTTAGACTCCCCGAAGCCGCTGGCTGAGCAGCCCCCCAGCATCTCATTTTTACTGCATAAAGAGAAAACAAAACATGAGCCAAGTATCGCAATCAGCGTCTCTCACTCTCTACCTAAAGTCTTTCATCACACTCCACCTTCTTAGTTATGTCTTTTATCTTAGCACTCCCCTGGAAGTACCCAATAAGATAAACTGGCAAGATAAAAAAAACATGAAAAACTAAAATCAGGATGCTGCTCTTGATCTTTCCCACAAAAACTACGTCCCAGCTTTGCTTTTACTCAGCCTGGAGTGAGATCTCCACCCGCAGTACAGCTCAGCCTACTTGGGTTCAAAAAACGTCAGCTCTGCTCTGCTAAGCACCCAGGTTTGTTCTGAAACTCGATACCGTATCGGACAAGACTGTGTGTACTTACACACCATTCATAATGGGGCTGGGCACACACACGCATCCGCGCACACACACACACACACACAGGGCTGACCTTGCAAAAACAAGCCTGAGGGCACCGACTTTAACACAGTTTATTCACAGGAAAATAATCTCTTTCCATTTGGAGCATTCAAAATTTCACTTGAAACAACTGTAAGAATATCTTCAGAATACAGCTGGCACTTTAAAGGCATATAAAACTTAAGACGAATGGCAAATCAAAAAAGTATTTACCAATACCAAAAACAGATGTTGATCTTCATGTTCTTAAAAATCAGACTCCACTTAAAAGTTAAGGTATTTATACTACCTCCCAGGACACTGTTAAAAAGGAAAGCGTGGCATAGGAAACAAGAGGCACCACACATTAATTATTAAACACCAAAGTTGTGATTCTGTATTATCATCACCAATACAGTCACTGGAAATGTCATTTAGTAGTATCTTTTAGGCACTCTCAGATTTGTATGTAGTGCAATAGTTTGTGTCCTTCCTTAAGTCGTAGCTCTGAACTTCCCTTAATTACAGCAGAGGAAAAAATACTTTCTCAACAGGAAACAAACAAACAAAAAAATAAAAACCAAACTCCCTAAAAGTCTGAGCCAAACAGAGCCTTCAGCTGATGCATGTCATCCTGCCTGCTCTGTGCGTACTTTGGTACCTTAGAGCTGGGTCTTTCTGATGGTGCAGCACTCTGAAGGGGTGACAGATGAAACGCAGGAGCAGCTTTGCTGTGAGATGCTGCTGTCCTGAAATTCAGCAGGCTGCTGGAGAACAGGGCAGGGGAAGAAAGGATGAGACCATCCGACTTTGCAACTGATACAGGAAGAAAATTGATGGGACACACTGGATACCTGTATAGCTACGTCATTACCAGACATGAAAATAAAGCTGGCAGCACCCTGGGACTCAAAATTGGCAGCTTTGCTGCTGCCGTAGTAATAAAAAAAATTGAGTGGCTTTCATAGGAGAGCTTCAGTGCAGGGATTTTACTTTCAGGAATGGCTAAAATGGAAAGTCTTGACAGCAGCTCACTCTCAGAAAAGATCTAAGTATTTGGATTTAGCATTATTGCTTTTTTCAAAAAGTCCCAAGGCAAGTCTTTGGCGTTGCAAAATGCCTGTGAAAACGTGTGCCCAGACAGAACAGGCACTGTGATCTGTGAGCGCTGCTGGGAAACACGCTGCGTGCAGGCAGGGGTTCTTGCCTGCACGAAGTTACTGAAAAAGCAGTACCTGTCCTCAAGGCAAAGTAGCAGAAATGACAAGCAGGTGACGAAGCAGGGCTGGTATACACAGAATCCTACCAAAACATCTGACACGGGTGAGAGTGGGGGAGGAATGAATCACTTGGGTCACTGCTTATTATTGAAGAGAAAAGCTACTGGCCTGCAAGCTGTGCTTTCAAAAAAAAAAAAAACAAAAAAACACCACCAACAACAACAACAAAAAAAAACCAACCAAAAAAACCAAACCAAACAAACAAAAAAACCAAACCAAAACAAAACAAAAAGACCAAACCAAACAAACAAACAAAAGCCAACTGGTACCCCCTGGTTTATCAACAGTATCAGCTCCTGGCTCAGTCCCGAGAGAACAGGTCTGGCTATAAATGTTACTCAGTCACCCTGGGACGAGAACCTTGGCATACGCAGACTCGACATCCCTGCGGGAGCACAAAAGTGGGAGAAAAATATCCCTGGGAGTGCTGCTTAATTTTAAAAAATACGTCAGTCATACAAATGGGGAGGCTTATTAAAAAGAAATAAAAAGGAGCAGCCGATAAGGATAAATGTTTGCAGACAGCATATTAAATGCATTGAGAATATCAAACATTTGAAAAAAAAAAAAAAAAACAAACTAGGGAGACAAAAGCAGATGTAGTAAAAAAAAATTAATAAAGGAATCTAACCAAAGAGTTTGAGGGGGACGCCATTTGCTTGCCATGAAGCCTTTTTTCCAATTATTTTTGTGGGAAACTAACTATAGGAGAACAAACCCCCCAAAAAGCAGAAAACCTCCTAGGAAAATTAGAAGGCGGCAACGATTTAGATTAGTGGGAAAAATATCTCCAGAGAGGAAACGAAGCAGAGGAAATAACCCCGTCCTCCGAACCACGGCTGCCTACCCACCTCCTGCCACGGGGGCCGGGCTGGAGGAGCAGCAGGAAGCAGCCTGCACCCTCGCAAGAACCAGGCCCTGCGAGGAGAGGGCAAATTCGACAGCTCCCCTGGAAAAAAAAACCCCTCAGAGCCAGCGCACTGCCCACGGCCGGACCGGTGGCGGCAGCCCGTGGGAGAGCTGCGGGGCCCGGCTCGGGGAGCCACCACGGGTTTCCACGGGGAAAAAGGCAGCCCCCCACTTCCACCTGGCTCTGCTCTCAGCAGAGTCTGGGCGCTACCAAGGGCTGCTACGGAAAGAGAGCTCGGGCAACAGCGCGACCTTTGCAGAAAGCTTTGCCTCGGCACCTTTTTTTTTTTTTTTTTTTTCCAGGTGGAATTGCTATTGTCAGTAGCCTAAAGCACTGCAGGTCTGGGGCTTCTTCATTAAGTGAAATAATCAGAAGAAATAAATGCTGGTAGAGACAATGCAAATTTCTCCTCAAAGCCTTAGGAATGCACATGTTAGAGAAAAAAAAAAAAAAAAAAAAAAAAAAAAAAGGAAACACTTCTGCCACCTGGTGAAGAAATCCTCCACTTCCACCACCACAGTCGCCGCTCCAGTGCCCCCCGCTCCCCCAGTGCCCCCCACGCAGCGAGACAAGGGGCCGCCCCTGCAGCAGCCGGGCCCCGGGGACACGCGCGACGGTGGCACAGCCCGACCCCCACTGGGGACACGTCAGGGCCCTCCCCCGCCCCCTGGCACGGATCTGGATGGCATCCGGAGTTATTTCAGCCGCGTCGGATTTGTCTGAAACGGACCAGAGCTCAGGAGCCTTTAGGTGACAACACGAGCCGCCTCCCCTCCGAAATTCACCCTGCCCTCGCTCATTCCCAAAGGGCAGAGCCAAGGAGCTGAAGACGGAGATGAGAACCACGGGGAGGTGGGTACTTTAAACACCTATTGCACTCCGCAGGAGAAACGGGAAAAAAGAAAGATGACTCTTGGGTCACTTCAATGCTTGTTCCTCTACATTGCTGCAGCAAAGAAGTCGTGTCCAGTACTCCTGCAATCCTCAGATTCTGAAAATACAAATACCCTGCTCCTGAGCTGCGAGAAGTTTATATTCATACTCTAATTGTTTGCACTGCTCCTAAACATACTAAAACTCTATATAATGTTATTAAAAAGCAGCAAAGGTTTTTCTACCAACTTTAAAGACTTTTTTTTTTCTGAAGTGGACTTCTTTGTGCGTTCTTTAGATATGACTGATCAAGAAAACCACAAGATCTTCAAGCAAATCTGTGACAATTAAAAAAAAAATAAAAATCTATATATACACAATGCATGAGAAAATTGGAACAGCATATTACTTGTATTACTTGTTCCTCTGACAGTTGTTGAGGGCATTCCCAGGCAGATTTAACTTAGCAGGCTCATCCGATACAAACCAATACAGGAAACATGAATGTCCCATTAAATGTTTCTATTAAAATTCCAAGTAAGTTCCTACAACTAAATCATTTATTTCAGCCACATCCTTTAAACCTAAATGTCAAGACAGGAGAGGTAAACAGAAGCCAAATGATAATTCAGCTGAGGTACGTCTTGATATTCCCTTACTCTCTCTACTGCCAAAACCAGAGACATTCATTGCTCATATTGATGCATTTCAAAGGTGGAAATGCATTACAGCATCTGAGAGAGGAAATTGTGCTGGCTAGGAAAAAATGCACCTCGATTCTTGGGGAGAGAAGAGAAAGATAAATGAGATCCTGTCCTGGAGATCTAGGAATCCAACAAGCATTGGCTCTAAATTTAAACTCAGGCCTGAGTATCTCTGTCCCAGCTCACGTTTCTGTTGTGGTCCCGGGGGAGCGGCTGACACGCACGTAGTGAGGACAACTCTTCCCTCTTCATATCCCTCTTTTCTAAGCCAAGTCACCAACTGCAAAATCAACTGGACGCACAGCACAGGGAGTATGGTGCTCCATAAAATGAGTAACAACACGAGCACTGTCAAGACCAGCATCTCCACCCATCAGACCAAAGGGTCTTCACCTTCGGCACGGGCGGACGGCAGTTCAGCACCGCTGGCCAGGGCAGAAGCTGAAGCTTCTCTGCTGAAGACGGACGTCCCCTCCTCAGGAGCAGGGCAGACCAAAACCTGTGCGCTCTGTATGCTCCCCCCTTCGCCCAAACACACAGTAATGATTTATAGGCATTGTTTTAAATCCATTTTCCTACAAGGCAGACATTCAAGACTTTGTATCCATCCACTCATTAAACACTGGTCACCTCAGTCTCTTGACGGTATAATAACTTGTTTGGAGGACAAAAACATCAGAAACGAAAAGGTATTCCAGAGAAGTAATTATTTGGAAAGAGTTCTTGCTGATAAATAAGCGATGTGCATCACATTTTGATATATCCCTGATACTTTCAGCTGAAAGTTTCATGGTTTTCCCATTATTAAATAGCTTCACAGAAATTCAGTTAACTCCGTTTGCAATAGTCCACCACCCTCAGGCTTAGAAGAAGCTTCTGCCTTGATGAGGTTTCTGTGCTCCTTTTAAACAGTAAACAGTTATGCTGCACTTAAAAAATAAAAATGTCGTACAAAAAATAAAAATTTTTCAAATCTTGAAAATAGTGATTGTTCTTTGTCTTCTCCATTCAGCTTTCATGTCAAATTGACCACATAGTTCTTGTCTATAAGCTTCTTCAAAAATTTCTGCTCAGCGTTGATGTTGTGGTATTCGTTCTAGAGAGATGTGAGGGAATAACAAAATAAATTCAATTCAAATTATTACCAGAAGCATCACTCCGTTGTTCTTTTCTTTTAATTACCTGTGATATTTGGAAGATGATAAGAGTAGGAAAGCTCTGGGGAAAAGACTTGTTAGCAAAGGCTGCAGCACAGTCTCCCAAGAGTGGCTCTATTGCTCAAAACTAGATTAGATTTTCCACTGGGACACAAACCAGAAGGGATGATCCTTCAGTGGCAATAATGGATGAGACGTGGTCTCACAGAAGTCCTTCCATCACTAACTCTCCCAACTCCTTCCCACGCTTGGAGGGAACACCTGCGTAACCACATTCACAGCACAAGCAGCCAGAAAATTATTAATTCTCAAAACTCAGTGCAGGTTCTTGAAAAACACACATCGGTTGCACCCGGCCCATCAGCCTCAACAAGCCAAAACCAACCCAGCTTCCGCGCTGTATCCAGATCCTGGATACACAAGAGACCACTGAGGTTAGTGGAAGGCAGCACGAGGGAAGTAAATTTACTGACAGTCTTAGACACTTAATCCAGTAAATTAAAATTAACGTAATGCAAATACTGCATAAAAGATTATACTCATGTAGTATAATATTTATAACTTAATGCCACAAAAGAATTAATGATAAGGTGTTTGTTTAGTTGTTTGGTTTTTCAAGTTTCAAGATTTTAGGAAACTTATGGATGTCTATTGAACTAGCAATCAACCTTACCCAAGTTTGGTATACACTGCAAAAAAGCACCTGCAGGGAGGACCCTCAAAATGAAAGTGAGTTCAGCGTCAGAGGAAAATTATCTCTGAGCAGCAGGCACCTAGGAGACCTCAGAGACATGAGAGGCTCCTATGGGCAGTGCCCCTACCCTTTCTCTTCAGGAAAGGGAGGAGGAGAGAAAATGGTCCCCACGTGCACGAGGAATACACATGGAAGAGAAAAGTGTTCACATGGAGGTAAAGGGCTGAGATGGAGCTGCTCAGCGCGCAGAGCTGAAGACAAGAGCAGAGACATAAAAGAAAACAGAGGCATGATCGTAGCCAAGCAGGAGGGAGGAGAAGGCATCCCTGATGTTTGCCAGCCTCCTGCTGCTCCCTCTCCTGGTGAGTTGTGGCTTCCCCCTCCTGGAAGCAGTTTCTTTTCTTACCCGCCTCCAAGAGCTGCTTTTCTTTTCTGCTTTCAATTTCTGAAATACAGTTCTTTTCCCAACTGCAAGTTTGTAGGTCTTAACTCCTTCCATTTCCCCTTGCTCTTCTTTCTCTTTTGTAAGTAGTTTGGCAACTATGACAAATTGTGCAAGCAGCTTGCCAAGCAAGAGAATACAAACAGAAACAACACTACTCATGTTCTGACAGCGCTAGCAAATACGCCTCTATGAACAAGAGCTGTGCAGCCTAAGGATAACACCAAAGCAAAACAGAACATACAAATGGATGTGTCTCATGCAGACGTTGCAGAAAATGGTGTAACACAACAGACACAAATACCATTATCCACGATTTTCAGCAACAAAAGCAGAGATGAAGAGATTCGAGCAATGTTAACCCATGAGCAGCTGAACCAGAAGACAGGATGCCTTTCCGACCTGCAGCCCACACTTCTACCTATATCGAATTGTCCTCCCCAGTTACCAGCTATCTTTCAGCATAAACAAGTGTTTGTTACCTGCATCATCTGAGACATTGTGTCGTTGCCGTAGTAGTGCAAAGAACTGTTTCTGTCAGTGAAGTCGTACTTGAAGCCTGCCAGGTGAACTTCATGGCATATGTGAAACGCAAGTGTGATGGCAATTAGCCCTGTTGTTGGATGCTTGGGTTTCTAAAATGAAACACAAAGAGCACACATACATAAATAACCAGCAGCTTGACAGGAACAGCAAGCCTAAGAATACAGACAGCAGAAATCGGGCAGCCTGGATCTTCTACTGATGTTTGGTTTTGTAGTTTGATCCCCTTTTGTGCCTCATAAGGAGTAAGGTACTGCCCGTGGGTTTTCCATGACCAGGTGTCTGCTGCGTTGGCCTTCCCTTGGACTCCCTGGTTTCTAGGGAGGGCTGAGCCCGTACTGTAGCCCTTCTCCCTGCATAGGCATCAGGAAGGTCGACCCATGCCCCAGCTCAGCAGCCTGCTTTCATGAAATTGGTCAGACTTCAATATATTGGAGGCCATTTCACCTCATCCAGTTTGACTGAATTAGCAGAAGTGTTCAGAAGTTTCTAGATGATGGAGATCCAGATGCATAGAAAACAGCATGACATGTCTCAGATCCTCATAACACCAAGCTAAAGAAGCGTGAATGCTACTGCTACATAAACCTGGCTGCATTTCAACTTTTTCAAAGCAGGGAAATTCCAGAAGAACACAGCTTCAGACCTTCCCCCACTACTTCCATTAGAGGAAAAGAAACTGTAGATAAAATTGCTTATTTCTCCCTACCATGAGATAGCTCAGAAGTAAATGCAATGTAAAACATCAAGAGCAGGTCATAAACAGGTTTTAACTGTGCAAAATTAAGCACACCTAACTGAAAATTAGCACTTCTTACAAGAGCATAGAACAACTCACTGCCACCATCTGTCCTACCTTGTGATAAAATACATGACTGTTTTAGCAGCAGCAGTGATCTGAGAAAGTAAATGAGGCAAGGTCTGTAGAGAGAGGTGAACTCTTTCATTAGACCAACAGATGAAGCTGAGGGCAAAAAGCATCCCCAGAAATGGACAAAACTTTCAGGCCCTTCTTAGCTAAAATAACAATTTTCTCAGAGACCAGATGAGCTACACACTTTCTGTAGCTGCAATCAAATCTCAAACTGAGCACAAAACCACATGCTTTTTTGAACTCTTACCCAAGGCTCAGTTCACCTGCCTCTGACAATGAAGCAGGCAAACCAGTACTGGAGAACTCTGTGCAAAGAGAAGGCAGATAGACTTGATACAGAAAAGTATTTCTTTGTATCATATGATAAAAGAACAAATCCCCAGGAAAAAGTTATTGACATCAGTTCTATAAGCCTTATTAAAGTCACAGAACACCATCTCGTATGTAGAATTTTTTTTGTACCTTTATACAACTCTTGGAGTACTCCAGAAATAACATCAACTTAAAACACATGCTATTGGCCAGGGCTCCTGCCAGTTGGCAAAATAACTTTCTTCCCTGGGGGCCCAATATCATAAACTTAGTGGTGACTCTGTTCCAATGTCCATACTAAAAAGGACCCCAACATTATGGCAGGAATGCTACCTGTCAGGATTAGTGCTGTTTGGAAATAGGAATATCACAGGTTGCAGCTGGCTCTGTTTACCTTTGGCTATCCCGAAGTTCACCTCAAAAGGAGATACTAAAAAACCTCAACACTATTTTTAAAATGTATTATGATGCTAGCGCCCTAGCGATCTTCAGATATCCTCGGCCTGTAATGAAATTTGTTCAGCCGGTCACATGTAATGGGAATCGGCACAGCCCTGGAATGACTCCGCAACGCCTGCATTGCTGCTGGGGCAGCACGCCTCCTTTTACAGTTTTTCTTCCCAGCTCTGCTAACACCACCACGGTTGCTAACAAAGGACCAGAAATGCTTGTCAGACTACACACAAATGTGCGCACGGGGAACATGAGATGGGCTTCAGGGAAAAGGCAGAGGCAGCAGGGAAAGCAACGCTGGTCGCCGGCATCTCCTGCAGGCAGAGGGGGCTGAAGGACAGCACGGAGGAGGCAGCGCCAGCCCTCCCCAGGGACCTGCTACGGCCAGAGCCCCACAGCGGGTCCTGCCAAAGGCCACCCTGCCAGGGGGAACCCCCAGGGCACAACCTGCAGCTTCACCCAGCCATGGCAGAGCCACGGCCCGCCTCCGGGATGGGAGGAAAAGCAAGGAGAAGCAGCACACCAGAGCTGGACCGCTGCTGCTCCTGCTCCTGCTGGGGACGAGGGGCTGCAAAAGCCCCGGGATGGAGCAAGTGGGACGTGGAGGTGGCAGAAAGGGGCTCCAAGCACGGACTCGCTCGGCCCCAGCTCTGGGCAGGGGCGCCCAGCGAGCCGGAGGGGAGCAGAGGGCACGCACGCTGCCCAAAGCGGCTGAGGGCCTGCACCGCCGTGCCAGCTCCAGGACACCACACACATCTCGGCAGCACTCGTCTGCCTTTTCTCCCACTGAGAGGGGAGCACAGGAAGAGACAGGAGGGATTTCGGGAGCCACGGAGGCCACAGACATTCCGTGGCCCTTTAGGAGATAGTTAGGCGCCCGACTACTCTGCTGCCTGGCTCCCACCCTTGGCTGAAGAGCTGAAACGCCACGGAGCACCAGTCAAGCACGCAGCCAAACTGGGTATTCCAGTTTGAGAGTTATTAAGGGAGGAAAAATCCATTAGTAGGCTCAAAAAAAGAAAGACATTTTTAAAAGAGAAATTTTTTTTAAAAGGCACAAAAAACCCCAAAGAAAAAAGCAACAAAACAAACAAACAAAAAAACACACACACACAAAAAAAAACCTCAACTCCCTCAAACATTAGAAAGATTAAACCAGAAAAAAAGTTGTGGTAGATACTCCACAGTGACAGCCAGTCAAGCGTTTACACGCACGTCAGTTGGCTGATCCTGATGAAGCAGCTTTGTGCAAGGGTGTATCTGTGCTAAACAGCAGGTGGCCAGTCCTGACTGCGAGAGGGAGGTCTCCAGCTTGAAGCTTTACCTTTCATCAGAAACATTCTTCAGTCATAAACTGACAGTTAAAATGTATTTTTAAGTCCACATTGTTGGTTAACTCATTACAATGCTTGGCATCGAATCAGTAAGCACAAGAATGCTGCTGGACGTATGTCATTAGCGCTGGGCTGGAATATCCTGAACGCCCCCAGCAGCGTGAAATTGCAGCAGTGTTAGAATTACTGGGTTGCTGGGGCTTTGGGGGGTTTTGTTCGGTTGGTGTGGGGCTTTTTTGGTGTTCTGTTTTTGTTGGGGGGTTTTGTGGGGGTTTTTTTGGTTTGGTTTGTGGTTTTTTTTGTTTGTGGGCTTAGTTGTTTTGGGTTTTTTTTTTAAGAAAAACTATAAGACACCCTACATTTAATAATTCAAGACTCCTTAATATTTCTAGAGGCTCTTTGGATCTGCCCTGTTCCAACGCCTGTCTGCTTTTCCCAATTTTGTAAAAGGCATTATGTCTGTCCACAAAAGCGTTTTCATTTAATGTTAATTACAGAATCCATAAAAAGAGATTTTTGGCATACAAGACTACCCACTCTCTTTCTGGATTCCATTTTCCCATCTTTTCTGAGGATCATCTAAATGCAAACTAACGCAACATGAACCTAAAAGATGTTCTAACATAGTCCACTATAATAAAGAGATAATTACCTCTGAGTACACATTTGGTTGCAGAAAACTGAAAGTCACATAAGGAAAAAGCCTACCTCCTTTTTGGGAAACCGTGTTGGGAAGTGAAGCCATTCATAAGCAGTTTTTCTGGTGATGCTGGGATCAAGAATCCTAATTTGACTAGATTTGTATATCATGTTCAGAGCCGGTTTCTTCCAAAAGCCTTTTGCACTCTGTAACAGGCAAGCAAATGCACATTTTTAACAGCTAGAAAACAGTTAATTTTGGTTTTGCAGCAACTCTAACAAAAGTAAAATCCAAGGGCAGGAGGTTGAGGAAGGAGTGTTAAACCTCCCAATGTTCAACAAAAACACGTGTCACATTGTTCTCCTGCAACAGGATAACCCCCTGCAGCAGTCGAGGTTGGGGCTGGCTGGTTGAAAAACAGCTTTGCAGAAAGGTCCCTGATGGACAAGACACACCAGCAGCGTGCCCTGGAGGCAGAAAATGCTCATTGTGTGCTTGGCCACATTAATAAGAGCAGTAGAGAACAGGTACACAGAAGTTATCATTCTCAAGTACTTCGTACTGTGCCTTTCTGTGGTCTCACAAATGCTGTTTTGGGCTCCCCCCTGTGCAAGAGAAAGTCAAATTGGGGCAAGCTCAGAAGAAAGCCACTAAAACAGCTGAGGGGCTGGAGAGCACAGCAAACAAGAAGGGTCTGAGGAGGCTGGGATTGTTCAGCCCGTCTTCAACTATCTAGTAGGGTTTACAAAAAGAGACAAGATCAGACTCTTCTCGGGGGTGCACAGTGAAAGGATGAGGAGAAATTCTTTCCTGTGAGAGCGCTGCAGCACTGAAACAAAGGTTGTAGAGATATCCTTGGAAATATTCAAAACTTACCTGGATGATGCCCTGAGAACCTAGCATGGCTTTGAACTTGACCCTGCTTCCTTTTAACAAGGTTTTGGACTAAGGACCTCCAGAGAGAGGTCCCTTCCAACATTACTCTGCAATTCCACCAAATGCACAGGACAAAATAATCTGGGAAATGGCTGGAATGTGCATCTCGATATTAAACAGTGCTATGAAGGGGATAAATAGGTATTTTCAAGAGGTAAACTGCTTTGGGGCGAGGAGCTGATCAATGATGTGTGTGAGAAAGAAGATGGAAGCATTTATAGGAAAGGGGTATTGAGCAGACTGACTAGGAGATCCAGTGCTCCCCCCAGCTAGGAGGACTAGGGTTAAAAGCAGAACAGGTATTTCACACGAGCGGTGTGTTGCAAGCTGAGCCAAAGTGCACAAATAAACAAACTCACTATTTTCTGACCACCTAGTATCTCCCAAAGCCACTTCAAGTCACGTGGTTTGAAGACGATGAGAACGACAGTCGTGTTCGGGTCGTAGTGGATCGGATCCGAGAAGATGGATTCCGGGTAAGAAAGGCGGAACGTCGTCCTCCTCCCGACATCCTCTTCGTACCCTACAACAGGGCCATTATTCATTCTGCAGGGAACAGAGACAGCAGTGACCACCCCACCCACGTGTCCGTAGCGCGCGGTGGCTGGCACACGCACCAGACTGCCGGGCTGACGGTGTGTCCAGATTCAGGAGGGTTTAACAGCCCAGCACTTACTTATCCCATTACGTGGTAGAGGAGCAATTATCAGGTGCACTCACCCTCTAACTCAGAGGGATCAAGCACATACGGGAACTTGGCCAAGGTGGTTTAGAATACAATCGCACAATTGCTTATCGTGTGCCACTCGAGCAGAAGGCCTTCTGATTTGGCTCAGACACAGAAACTGGAGAAGACCAAAGAGAATATCCAGCTTGGAGAATTACCCATTGCTCTGTTCATGCTACCAGATGATCCCAGTCATACAGGAGGCAATTCAAGAACATTTTAATACTCTTCACTGTCTACAGGATACAGGAACAGGGATTATGACTGTGTACCTGATGACAATACATCTTTATGTTTGCTTTTTTTTTGTTTGTTTAGGGTTTTTCAAGGGTGGTGGTAGGGACAGTGCGTTGTGTTGTGGTTGGGGTTTTTTTGTTTGCTTTGGTTTTTTGTTTGTTTTGTTTTTTTGTTTGTTTTGTTGTTTTGTGTTTGTTTGTTTTTGTTTTTTTTCTTTTTTGAAATATTACTCACACAGCTGCCACTGCTTTGGGATATAACAGATTAATAAGCAGTGAACAGATGGCTCAGGTCTCTGCTCTGAGGTGTTAGAGGAGCTGTGTTTCAGGTCTCCATCTTGCAGTTTTCAGTTGGTGGGTGTGTTGCATACTCTTTAGAGAATTTAGGCAGTCTCTGTATACTCCATTCCTGCCAACGTGACTGACTGCTCAGACTAAGAGGCACACTGCTTAGGAGCAAACGTTTGCAAAACAAGGTATGCAGACAAGGGAGTGTTTCAAAGTTTTATCAGAAGTCATCATGAAATACAAAATGAAAACACCACCTCTTTGTTTATTCAGAGTGAACAAATATGTACCATATTTCTGAAACAGTTTTGAATTTAGAGCTGGTTTTGAAATGTGAGACACCATTCTAGATAAAGATTTCCATTTTAAGAAGAATAGATAGATCTACAAGGAGCCCAAACACTTGAAATGGCTTAAAAATAATTCATGGAGCTTCCTTGCATTATACTACAGTGAAAATAAGTGAAAGGTGAAGTTTTTTGTAAAATACAAAGGTGTTAGGCAAGTAAAGTTTCCTAAGAACGAGGATATTATCTTGACCACTTTCCATATTTTTACGTTTATACGGGGAGCTGCAACTGAAGAATTGCATGTTTTCATTTGCACCTTATCAGTACATTTTCAAATGCATGTCAAACTCCAGGCTTTGTATACAGCTTTTTATGGTAGTGCTTGAAGACTGAAACAGTATTGCTAAAATGAGCATTAGGATTGATGGCAAAGTAACAAAAATGAGACTTTGTTCAATGTTCAACACAATGTTGAAGCAGACAAACTGAAATGGCAGCTCAGACTTTAGCAAAAGGGCATTCGGGCACACTATCTGACAGGGTGCTTACAGGCAGAAGTACTGTTTAATCAGCTACCATTTCAGTTCCTGCAAAGGAGAAACTGAGTTTTGGTTTTTGGTTTGTTTGTTTGTTTGTTTGTTTGTTTTTTGTTTTTTGTTTTTTTTTTAATGTGCAGAAAATTCTGTTACAATTAGACAATTGGTCTGGTTTTAGTTTGCTTGGCATTTGAGCTTTTTTTCCCCACCCCATCTCCTTGTCTGTTCCTCCCCGAGCACTTCCCCCGTTCCCCTCATCGCGATGCCTCCCCTTCAGACCCCAGCACCCTCTGGTAGGTCCAGGCACCTCAAACTTCCAGTAAGAACTAACATGCTCGAGAAAAAGGGGCAGACATCAGCGTCACCCTCCAGTTGGCACGTCCAACTGGAAGTTGAACTTCCCAGCATCAACGTGACGTTTAACCCGCCCCAAGCAACGCAGATGGCAGCACAGGGGTGAGACAGGCGTGGTGTGGAAGGCAAGAGGCAGGGCTGCCCGGGATGCGGGCTCACAGCGAGGGGCACGGGCAGGGCTCGGGGCTGCCTCGCACCCGGACCCATCCCTGATGGCAGCATGCAGCACCTCTGTATCTGTACGTGAGGCAGACTGACCGCCCAGCGATCCTTCCCCCCTCCCCGGTATCAGTCTGTGTAATAGAACACGGATCCATTTTTTCCTAAAGTTTTTTTTTTTTAAATGGAGGCTGTGACTGAATAAGTAAAACAGGAAGTTTTATACATTTTCACTTGTATAATAACTGAACTCCAAAGCTACTGACTGACAACAAAAGTTTGCTAATTCTTTGTACGCACACAAAATCAAAAGCAGATGCCATTTACCTTATTATCACATCATACGAGTCAATTTTCTCCCCTAATGTCTTATTTCGAAGAACTCCTCCATTACCGACCACAACACACCGTCGACATGAAATGCTGTGGAACAAACAGAACTTTAATATGCATGTCTTCCCTTGCTTCATATTGTTATTAATGATATATTTGCATTTAGCTGGCTTATTTACTAACTAAGGTTCTGCATCTTGTACACTCCTTGGCCCCTACAGAGCAGTTTCAATCCTCTATCACACGCTAAGGCTGCTTTCAAAAAAATGCAGCTGCATTATTTCAGGGACCACCAAAGTCAAGAAACTGCTTCTCTCTCACGTAAAACTGTTTTTATACACATCCTTTTTCTCATGGTTTAAGAACATCTAACTGGTTGGTGAGATGGGTGCCATTAGACACATTATCTTCCACAATGCTTCAAACTTGTCCCAGTCTGGGGGTATACCAACCAGGATAGAGTATGTCTGGAAAAACTAACTCAAATTAAGGTGCTTCTGTAATATTTTACAACTCCACAACTCTCGAGATCTCCAACATAAGCTAAAGCAGCAACATTTATGTTCACAATTTACCTTACGGGTCTCTGAATTGTACATGTGAAAAGCCTTAGCCCAATGACGGCTCTTCAAATTAATATAATCACGTTGATTTTTCTCCCTCTACTTCAAAAGTGCTGTTTAAACATGTGCTGAAGTCCATGGTGTGATGACGTAAGAGGGATAGGCTTGATTAAAGTTACATTCTCACGTGACTAGATTCACGTTAGTCAGCATTATTAAGTCTACGAAACACTGAGCTACAAATTAGATCCTATACTACATCCAGTCAAAATAGTGATTCCTTTGGAATTTAGAATATATTCTGAGTTTAAAAGCACCCAAAAAAGGTATTATGCAAATACTAAGCTTACAAAAGTACATTCTAATGGTAAGATTTTCCAAGTTATCCCATGTATTCTAAGTGTATGTTTTGCTCTCTACTGTCTTATTTCAATCCTAGTAAAATGTGTGCTCTGCCAAGAAAATAAAAAAAAAAAAAAAATAAAAAAGACACAGGCGGGCTTACTGTTTTTTTTACTAAAGAAATTTTGCCTCTTTAGGGAATGTTTACATCCAATGTATAAGATTGCAAACTCCTCCTTACAGAACAAGCACGTAATTTTTTACTGTAAAAATGCTTCTTTATTTAGAGCAAAAACTGTTCAACTTGGTTGCAGCAGGAACAATGGCAAAATAAAAATGTTGGCATTTTCTTCAGACACGAACAGGCTAACAGGGAGGATGAGCCACCTCCCAACATCCCACTCCCATGGTTCCTCAAATAAGAAAAAGGCTCTGTGCCATTTCTTACCGTAAGGGACCCAAGGACTGCAGCCCAAAGAATACTGTAATCCGTATTAAATGCCCAGTGTGGCACTTTATGTAGACAAATTAACATCTTCCTCTGCAGCTAGTCCAATCTGTTTTTTCAGCTGAAGAGGGTATTATTCAACATCAATGAAAACAGCCTGTTCCAGCTGAGACTGACTGACATTTCAATGTACAAAGCAGTTCCTTATATTCCTTACAGAACTGTTAACGCAGTGATGCTGTACTGTGTGTGGGCTAAGGAAAAGAAACTGGGCCTCAAAGCAATGTTGAAAACCCAAAGCTTATAGAACAGGTGAAAAGAGAATAAATGCCAGCTGTAAAAAGGACTGTATTTCAAAACAAATGTTGGGATGACACCTTCTCACCTGCCAGTCTGGGGCCACATCTGCAGAGGGAGTTGCCTTTAATTTTTTTTTTTATATATATACATTTATACATATAAATAAAAATAGTGCTGCTAAATACAGCTCTCAGGGTGGGGTGACATGGAAAAAATTGGCACACATTTTTCTAGTGTTTCCTGAGCACCTTCCTAGAAGCCAAGCACCCGTAAAAAGATTTCCAGCTAATGCCACAAAGTCCATATGACTCAGTACCTCAGAAATCAGAGGCTTGAAAACTTGTTACACCACCCTGTCCTCAGTATACTCGTTCCCTCTACACCCATAAAACCTTTCCTCCTCTACTCTAGGACTGCTTTAACCCATTCACTCTTAAATTAGTATTTCAATCTAGTTTTAAGATATCCTGGGAAAGCAGGCTGATGAACACATGCCTCTTGCAAAATTTACAGTGGGAGGATGCGACTAGAAGTTACCCTTTTCCTGAATTAAACTTTGTTAATTGCAGCCATATCCTAGAGCTCAAAGCAAAGTCTCGAGCTACAGAGAAGCAACAGTGAGGAGAAACAGGAAGGAAAAAGGAATTCAGAACAAAACCCATGGTCAGTAAGTGATGAAGGTGGAATGAGGAAGAGCGAGGGAAAAGCACAGAATTAGCATATGGTTGTATTACGTTTTCCTGTCACTTACAGCACACCTCTGTAAACCACTGTTAAGTTTCAAACCTCTGAATTCAGTGTCACCAAAAGTTACGTGGCTGCAGCTGGGTAGCTGAGATACAAACCTCATCACCACAATGCAAATCCTAAACTGCTACTCGTACTCCAACTCCCGGTGGTGCTTCCTGGCTAAAGCATCCATCCCCGATGCTTGGCAGACTCATCTTCAGGTCTCAAAATGAAGCCAGAAAAATTGCTCCTAACCTTGCTGAGTATTCTCTTTTATACTCTCTAACTACTTGGTGTGAATTCACAAAACCAATGTCAACTCCATTACCAGTTATTTCTAGTATTCTGACCATAATAAGCAGCCAAAAAGTTACTCTGAGGAGGCGCTGCTTGTTCTGTCCCTTGTAGATGAACTTTAAGTGATTCCTTATTATACATAGCTTCCAATTTTTGGCAGAGGCTGTGATTTAAGAAGCTTCTTCACTATGTCAATGCCTAGCTATTGAAATAACGCCTTCTGGTATAAAACTGAAGAGCTCTTTGGCTTCTCCTCTCTGCACTGTGCAGGTGTGATGTAGCAGGACATACTCAGGGCAGGGAGGGTAAAATGAAACATGACTTCAGAACTGGGCAACTAAGGTTCATGCAGCTACAGAAGCTGGGTAGCCGCCCTCACGTCAAATCTGAACTCTTCCCTCTTACTGACGGCTGCAGACCAGATCTTGTTCATGGCTAAGAGCTGACTAATACTTCTTAGATGGAAAAAGGAGTGAAACTTGAACTTTGATTAAGCTTTCAAACTCCAGTGCCCTTGACATGCATACTCAAAAATAAAGTTATCAGTTGCCTTCAAATAACCAATAAAACAGCTAACATTGGTATGTGAGCTTTTCAAATGGATAAAGTCAACAAGCAGATCAAATACTCTTAATGAATTGTATATTAATACAGTCAAATAAATACAGTCATAGGTATTAGGAAGACTAGCTTTTAATCTCTGTCAAAGTCAGGAAGTCAAAGCAGGCCAACTCAAACAGTAAGTCTGGCACAAATGTGCTACTTCTGAATGGTCTCCTTCCCCGAGCCATCCCTCCCCAGTATTCAGGTGTCTCCAGCTACAATCATAGGTCTGTGTCCACAGTAGCACAGATTCCACTGACAACAATCAGCAGGGAAGGAAATGATTTATGCTGGATTAAAAAAAAAAAACAACCATAACATAATATCATAGGAAACAGACATATGAAATGGAGACAAAGAACATGTAGCAAGACTGGACTGTATTCAAAGATATTTGAGTTAAACTGATCTGTACTTACTGTAGATCACAGAAATCAACACACTGATTTTCAGCAGACTGTTACTCCCACATATTTTACCAACCCTACTTCTTAAAGTTTCCTTTTCCATAATGTTTTCATATTAAAGAAAACCGAAACACTCAGACCAAAGGGTGAGTAAACACTCACTCTTTCTCCAGGTCAATAAATTGACAAGAAGATAAATAAATCCAGGTGTCCTTAAACAATGTCAGGTATGCTATAACTGAAATATAACAGACTGAAATGTCTGGAGGTCCAACTTACAACCACCAGCACAATATTGATGAAAGTGAAAATTATTAAGACCTCAGCTATAACAATTACTATAGCGATGTTTTGAGTGACCACGGGATTGCATTACAGTGTTAAGAAATCTACCTAAGAGTCTAGATGGTTCCCAGTGTAAATGGCATGGTAGCTGATCTCCGACATCCAAATGCAATCTCTTTAGTCACTCAAACAGTTGCCCTGTTCACGTGGTGTACAAGACCCTCTTAATCTCAATGCCAAGCATTAGTTTACATATGCCGTTTATATGGTGAAGTGCTAAAAGAAACATTTTCTTAGTCTATAAAAGAAAAATATTGTTAAATGGAAACATAGTCTTTAAAGGTCAAAATCCTCCACATTCCACTGAAATACTGTTTCTCTGGAAAAGGAAAAAGAACAGCTCAACCTCCACTCCTTCAATACACACCCCCGTAGTCAGCTGAGGAATGCAAATTATTTCCTTTGAGGTTATTTGGCAAAAGGAGGATGCAGAGGTCACATTTTGTTGATGCAGGATTGTGCAAATGCATTTGTCAGAATTCAGTGCTGTTGAGCTTAGAGTTCTGAGAGTGCCCAGCAAGTAAGCATGAGGATACGGGTGGAGCGGGTGTTCAGAGGTTACTCTGTGGAACTAGACCTCTACACAGTGAGAATTCCACGTAAGTTTGGAAAATGGCACTGTTGAGAAAAAAATCCTTTCTAGGTAAAACTGTACAGAGTGAGCTAAGTCACACACAAATTCAGCTGTATCAGGACCATAGATTTGGTGCTAATATAGCCTAATATTTGTTAAAATATTTTATAGCAGGTTCCCCCATTCTGTCCCAATAAAAGTTTCTAGGGAAATTTGTTTTGCATTCTGTCAAGGTGGCTGAATTAGGCAGCTGCCTAATAATCCTCTAATACCAGAGAATGTTGTTAGAATTAATTCCTGAAGTGTTTCACATTTAAAAGCCACTGCATCGTGGTTAAATGTATATATAAAAGCTATTCCTTACTACAGTGATTCATGCCCTAACAGAGCTATTCACGAAAAATGATTGACTTAGGAAGAATATAGTGTATGCAGTCACTGTACATTTGATTTGTTTATATTACTGCCTACTAAATAGTAATAGTTCTCATTTTGTTTCAGTACTACTGAAGTATATTACTTTTATTAAAGCAAAGCATGCTTCCCAGAATGGCTGAACATATCTATCTCAGACAGCCTACATTCAAAGGATAAATACCAATTAGTATAATTTTGATCTATAGGACAGACACTTCCATTTAAAAGGTACTAGGCTGTACTGCAAATGTCTCTACTTTATAGCCAAAACACTTATAGTGCTGAACTTCTGATTTCAGGAAATTTCAAATACAACATCTGGCATTCTCCTTCAGACTCCAGACAAAAGACTAGCCTTTGTCAGCCAATTCTGCATGAATTTCCCCAATTACCACACTCTTGACAGAAAACAGGGGTTTTCCTTTTCCCTCCCCCCAGCTCCACTTAAGTGTAAACCTGAACATCCTAGAAATAGATACTAAACACAGGGAAAGGAAGAAGTATAGTAAGTGAAGAAAAGGAAAACAGTATTACAACCAAGATAATTCTTAAGCTTGAAGACCAACTATTTCATTCATATTCCACCCAACTTTAATTAAAATGTGATCCTGGCATTTGGCCTGAGGCAACAATCTTCTGTTTGATCTCCTTGATTAAGAAACTAAATGAAGTACAGCCAACCTCAGCATTATTTGCATTCAACTCTATTAAGAAGTCTGCACATTAGCATGATATATGGCAGGTTGTCAGCCCATTTGCTAGACTGCAAATCTAAGAAGTCATTTCCATCACTTGGTAAACTCAGGATTTTAGGATACTTGCCAACCCTACTACACCACCTCCAAAAACACCACCACCAACAACCCACCCCACAAAACAAAAACACAACAACAACAACACACACACATACACACAGAAAGACCCTCCAAAACCAAACAAAAAAATCCCAGAAGTGGCTTCTAACCAAGAGATTTAAACCAGCCAATCTAATGCACTGAAAGCAAGTTATCCAAAGTGTGCTCCGCTCTGTGCCACACCCTGGCTACTCCAGAAAGGCCTGGAACAGCCCTGACAGGCTGCCCAGGACTCACAGGAACCTACACACACACACACACACACACACACACGCGGGTGTGCAGCAGGTCAGCCGGTGCACTGGCACCGGGACATGTGTAAGATTTCTTTTGCGTAGAGGCAGCCATTGGTTCACATCTGCTTATCTCAAATAGCCTCTAGGTTACACTAAATGACTTCGAAAGAGGAGATCACATTCAATTTTTAAGGGGTGGTTTCACTTTCCTAAGTATAAAAAGATACTACAGAAGGATAAGACTGCATTCAGCTAGCAAATTCCTAATGCACTTACAAAAAGAAATCTGTAAGTTAAAGTTCCCCCATAGAATTATTATTCATGAATGCTGGTGTGACATAGGTTTAAAACCAATCCTATTTAAATCTTGGAATCAGTTACGTATTGCTTGGACACTGTCAGTCAGATTTGCATCTTGGCTAACAGTTTCAGGATGATGCCACTGACACTCCTTTTCAGATAAGTATTAAAAATGCAATGAACAGAAACAGTAACAAACAAGCCATCTCACCTGTCATCTTCATTGGAAAGTCCACAGTTCTGCAGTCTTGAAAGGGCTAAGCGAAAAAATTGCTCTAGAAAACAAATAGAAAAAAGATTAATGAAAATATTCAGTGCCTTCCAATATAAAAATAAGCATGCCACCCTGACTACAGCGTTTTCAAACACATTAGTTTTTATGCACTGTGCATGAAAAAAATCCAAAGAAGAACACTTGTAATTCAGGTCCACAGGTCAATCAATGATGCCAAAGAAATTCAGGTTTATCAGAGCTCCTCTCTGGGAAGCTTTTCCTACCCCAGCACTCCCTTGTTGGAAAACAGTGTATGATTTGTATGGGGAAAAAAAAAAAAAAAAAAATCTTACCTACAGTAAATATGCATCGGAAGAGTTTCCAAGACCTGCATCCTAGTTGACTTTGGTTTTTCTTCAGCTGAAACAGAAGCAGCCTTCACCCAAGAGGCGGGGCCACACAGCCAGGGACAGTGACAGCATTACGTATCTCAGGACAAGACATCAAACCAGCCCGTGCTCGCTGGCAGAGCTGGGCAGAGGCACCTTCCCGCGGTGGGCAGGCACCTGCTGCACACTCAACGTGCCTCTGACTGAGAGGGGGCCTCAATTCATTCCCAAAACTACTCTTCCTCAATGCAACCCCAGAGGTGTGAGAAAATGCACCATCCGCTGATGGAGGGCAAATCAAGAGTCTAAAGCCCAGATCTGTGGTATACTAGGAGGGTGCACTGTTCAGTGTTAAAAACTTTGAGATTTAAGACTTTATAACCCTTTCTGAAAGGGTGACTAAGACCCTTAGGGTCTCCGGCCCTGTTTACTCTGCCCTGACCAACGCGGGCAGCAAGCACGAGCAGGCAAACACTTTGCACAGGTACAGCAGCCATGCAATGGCAGGACCACCCCCTGCAGCCCCAGTGACACCTTCCCCAGTGGGAAAAGCTAGCGCAATAAAAGGAAAATTTTGCTGAAATAATGGCCCCAACCTGGGGACGTCTACCTCAGTAGGACTCTGGATCCCTGTTAGCTCAGGTGTGTTGATCAAACCCCACCACACTGACCCAGCTAATATTTCACCTAGCAAAGCACTATCTAAATATCCCTAGCACTCCAGCCCCCATACAAACAAAAGGAAGATGAACAAGCTCCACTCTTCCTCACTCACACCCTGCTGGGGCTTCTCTGCTAAGAGGAGCAACCCCAACCTGGTGTTTTATTTGTTAAAAAGAGAGACTAAAGGAAACCATTAAGTCACTGCTAGATACCCCCAAAAGGACTGGCATCAGTGAACAGGAAGACCAGGACCAGACATTCAAGTGGCTTTATGCACCTATTTGGGTATTTCTGTTTAAAAAACAAGGTACACGGGGAACACAAACCTGCTCTCTTTATTCCATAAGGTAGTTCAAACTTATCGCTCCCATGGAACTCCGCCACTCTGATAAAATCATTAGCACACAGGAACGGGTATATTTTGTCAACACTAATGAATGGAAAAAATAAGAAGTTTCAAAAACCCACATTATATATTTGAATAAGCCAATAATTCATGCAATTGCTTTAAAAAAAAAAAAGAGCTTTCATTACCCTACTTCAAGTATTATCAATTTTTAAAAGAAACCTCATGAACTCAAGAAAAAAAAGCAGGTGACTGAAAAGAGGAAGATTTTATAATGGAAAATATAGGTAGAGAGTGAGAAAAACTATTCCTCTAATAGTGTAAGTTCTATAAAGTCAATAAAATCACACGACTGAAAGTTTATACCATGAGACAACATATTTAAGAGAATACATAACCCAGGAAGATAATTAATAACTTCAGGTTTGAAAAGTATGTAACAGAGGCAGCAAGGAAAATTAAGAATTGTTATTATATATGGCAATTTAATAAATAAGAGTGAGATTTGAAACAAGGTGTTTTAACTTGAAAATACCATCTTCTGAGGACATCAGCTTATTTGAGATGTGCTCCCATTCCAAACAAGTGGCACTTTATGGCTGTGCTGATATCAGTAAGTAGTTTGAGGCAACAGGGGTATATCCATAGAGCAAAAAAGCATGGAATTCTCATGTCCACATTACACACATCTCAGGTTTATTTTACTCTGGACTAACTCTAGTAGGGTCCCACAGATTGAACGCCCCTTAGCAGCTGCAGCACATTGGGTGTGCTCCTGCAATGCATCTTCTGGCTTTGCCAGAAGTCAGATGTGTGAAAGGAGCCCAGTGCACATGCGCCAGGGCCACCCTACAACGTGAAGCATGGCAGGTGGAGATAACAAGGAGGTTTGCCCCAAAAGCATATTCCTCCTGCAAACTAGACCAAAATGGCATCGTACCTTATGAGCATAAGCATCAAGATAGAAAGAATGCACCACTTTTCATCGAAAGACAGTAACCACAGACAAGGGTTATCTCATAGCAGGGAAGGGACTCTTACTACCATATATGCCAAGTGAAGGCAAATGACTGAGCTGTAGATCCAATCCTGCTACATGCTACCGTGCCCTTGGCTTCACCTTGGAGTTAAGTGGACACACACTCACTGAACTGCTTGACTTTGTAACGATCCTGCATACTAAGTTTTATATTAAAATGTTAACACAGAAGTATACAGTTACAGTGAGTAAAAAAAAAATAAAGCTAGTGTTGATCATAAATATCCACAGCCAGCACATGACTTTTCTCCATTAAGTATATTAATAGCTGTTAAAAAACACCCTCTGAGTTTCATAAATATCTCACTCTTTAAGCTCTAGATATTGAGAAGATACTAACAGTAAAAATAAAATGCACACCCCCACCCACAAAAAAAAAAAAAACAACAAATCACCACAACCCACACATCAAGAACTGGGACATAGGTTAACTAAACAAGACCAGCTAACCTTGAGACATCATGCACTAAACACGCATATTAAATTTAATAACTTGCCTTGCAGTTCAGAAGCAGCTGGTAAGCTTAGACATAATAAATAATTTACCTACTGCAAAGAGATTCTTAATTCTAGCTCTTCTAGCTCTGGTTCCTTTCCAATAAATAATTCTGCCAGGTTAGAAATCCTTTCAACCTCCCCAGGCTATTACCAAAGTGCACAGACCAGATCTTCAGCTCACACAATCTATCTCTGCAAAGGAACTGTGGAAATATGCAAAAGACTCTGTTCTAGCTCTGCATCTACCTTCTTCTCACTGTGCATTTCCGAGTCCATTCCTGCCCCCTTGCTCAGCACCAGAGCTATCTTGCTCTGCCTGACAGACACAGCCTGGGCACGCTCCACAGGCGAGGGACCACCTCACTGTGCCAGGCAGCTAACCAAAACTCAGACTACAAGACTGCTTGGGGGAGGACAAACTTTAGATCCTTCCATGTTCTTTAAAATAATAATAGCACTCAAAGCCACGTTTTCTTGTACACAAAAAGGACCAAAAAAAAAAAAAAAAAAAAAAAAAGCAGCAATGGTGTCCTTGCTCAGAGTTTTAAGACTCCTTTGGCCAGGACTTGGTCTAAACATCTTCCCAAGCTTTCTCGGGGCCATACTCAATGTTTGCTCAGGTAAAACACAAAGCCAACAATATAGCCTGTCTGCTTCTGGTCCTGTAGCAGCTCCTTGATCTCTCATGTAAGACCTGTGCTTCTAATAACAAAAACTCCCAGTATTTCCTCACAAAACTCTTGGATGCACTTTTGTGACCAGACACCTTCTTTGTTTTAGATAGAAATTCTTCCTTTATTCATCTGACCACTTCTTTACAAAGGAAGCTTCTCCTCCTATGAGTACCTTACAGTGGAGGATACCTAAACACAATTCAACAATACTATCAGAGGAACAAAAGCATGAATAATCCCAAATTTAATTAAAATTAAATTCCATTAAAATTAAAATTCCATTGGAGGGGAAGAATCATTAAAGACTGAATGGATTTTTGCACATTTCATGCTCCTTTTTCCAAATAAAATGAGGGTCCCTGGCTGCCACAGAAATACTTAGCTACCAAAAAAATCTTCATGTTTTAAGTCCAGGTTCTTAATAGCAGAATAACTGAGTTTCAGTCTTGGACATGAAGGCTTCTTTTACAGGAAAAAAAAATAAGGCTTGTATTTCAAACACTAGAAGAGTTTCACTGTTACTAGTTTCAATATCTGAACAGGAAGTATTTATTTATTCAGTACATACATCAGCATATTGAGCTAGTTGTGTGGTATAGCTCAAATGCTGATCAGGGGCAAGCTGAACGATTTGTGATGCCACAACCAGGAAAAGCAACAAATGAACCCAAGCCTAAAAGCTGTACTTCCAGAGGCGAATCAGTATGTGAAATAGTCCATAATATGTAAAAAGCCCATTTCTACCTCAATCAGCACAGCCTTTCCTTTCCCCCACCACTTCTCACTGAATACTCACCCTAGTAAAGGTTCAAATGCTGGTTTCAGGAGACAAGTGTCCAGCGCGTTCCTTCTCTCCACAGCCGTAGGTGGCAGCCTGCAAAAGAAGAATTTCAAAGAAATAGTAAGAACAGGAGCGGGTACCAGCAACAAGGTAGGGAAACTTGGTCAAGCCAAATTAGTAAAAAGCTGTTTACTGAGTTAACACCACACCAAATTTTCCTGATTGCCTCTCTGTATTAAAGATGGATCTTTCTCTTTGCAGTAGGATTACTTTTACTAGTAAAGGCTTTTATCTCATGGTGCTGCTCCAAGGGGACTCCAACCTCCCTTGCTCAGCAACTCTCAAAGCAGCCACAACCATGGGTGAGATCTCAGGCCCACCTGCAGAGAAGCAGGACATCTGGGCTGAATCACCTCTGCAGCCATACCAGCTAGCAGCACCAGCACTCCTCCAAGAAGAGAAGGGCGACTTGTTTGGAGAAGGGAACAGACAGGGTACTTCAAGGAAAAATGAGATTCTTTGGGGATACAGCATTCCTCACACTTCTAAGCACATTGCCACCTTGGCAATTTAGCCCAATTAATAACAAATATGAAGCCTAGAAGGGAGGGTAAAGTTCAGTGTGAGCAATGTGTGTATCTGGGCTGCATTAAAAACAGAAGGATGAAACCACCACATTAGAACCACAAGCCAAATAGACCATTAAGGTTAATTGCTTTTGGTAACCTCAAGTTGTCATGTGAATACTGACACTGAGAAAGCACCCTGTGAAATGTTCCAGCTGTCCAGCTCATTGCTTCCCAGCATCAGCCTCACAGATGGCATTTTGCATGATGGCTTCAGAGAGAACAGAGGCCTGCTTTTAAGTTTGATCATAGGCACACATTAGTCCCACAAACTTAACTGCAGGAATTTACTAGCACAAGATCTACTTTTACACGCCCTTGTGCATCCCAAGTGAACCACACCTCTGATTTACTACATTTTAAGCACAAAAGTTGCCCTTGTAGCTCTGCTAATTTTATTCGGTTATAACTCAGAATTGCAGAAATTTTGAAGTTGTAAACAAATATCCTTCCAACAACTCATTGCTTGTTACAGACAGTCACTGTAACTGGCCATAACTATTAACCAAACACTGGAAACATGACATGGACAAATTCCTGTCAGACATATTACAGCTGTGCTCATAACAGAGCCAATGGACACAGCTATGCAATAAGAAATTGAACAGGTAGCCTACAGACAAAGGCTATGGATTTTAGTCTCAGTCCCTCCCACCTGCCCAAAAAACAACAAACAAACAAAACAAAAAAAACAACAACAACAAAAAAAAACACACCACCACAAAAATACTCAACTGCTAAACTTACTGGGTAACTCCACCAGTCTCATAGGAAGGAGGAGCCCTCACAGAGGAAGTCTGTCCATAAAAGCTAATCCTGCAAAAAGGAAAACGTCACAACACTGTGGTTTGTGATAAACAGAAACCACAACAGAAAGCCATTCGTGTCAACTGTATGCTCTAAACAAGACAGATAGAGGCACATCAATCACTAATATTAAATGCTATCGCTATTATCTTCATAACACAAACACACTGGTCAGTCCTTGTGACAGCTGTGCAAAGGCCAATGGAAACTCAACTTCTTCGATAAGCACCCTGAATTTTAGGTCCCAAGCCACCTGTCCTGTGCAGCCTGAAGACAGTGAGGGCTCAATTCCCGTAAGTTTGCCACTGGGACTCAACAAATTGCAGCTTTTCAAAAGGTCCCCACTACACCTGCAGTTATTCCCATGTGTGGAGCAGGTGTCTCCCAATTATCAGACATCTAAAAGTATGAGCTAACACATATGGGGTGGTAGGAGATAAGAACACGACACACAAAAATAAGATCTCTCCTCACCTGAACACCTATTTTAATGAAACTCAGAGGGGTTCCCTATCTCTGAGGCCCTGACCTCTCCATACAACCAGGCTGAAATCCACTACTGGGTTTAAGAGTGACACAGTAGAAGGGGCAACGGGACAAAATGATCACATTCATTCCCTCACCGTACAAAAAAAGCACCACAAAACACACACAGAGTAGTAATCACTTCTGTTGATTACTAGTAAACAGCTGTTTAGCAACTCACAGCCACATGTCTCATACTGCCACGAAGGTGTTTGCACTATAAGTGAACAATGCATCACCATACCAGTAGAGGTTATTTCTCCACAGATTTCCATGCAGTATACCATACATAACAGCAGCAGCCAGGATAAAAAACAGAAGAATTCGTTTCATGACTGGTAGACCTGAAATGTAATAAAAACAAAACAAAAAATTTAAATTCAAGTTATGCTATTAACATGAACTTTCATACAGCATCTTGAAACCTACAGAAGGAAATCATCGTTATTACAGACGTTTTCCACCACCACAAATTTGACGGGTGATGACTCCAGTTTAATTTCTTACACAGTCCCAGTGACAGGAGCTGAACGCTGCTCTGCACCTACCTCACATGCATACCCTGCACAGAAGCACCGAGAGAGGCTCACTCTGGGTTCGCTTTGAAGACACAGGAGGAAGATGGCCTCTTCCAGAAGCATATCAGAGCAGCAGCTCCTTTCTGTCACCTGGCAGCCCAAACAAGCCAGCCTCCTGGGTCAGAAACTGGCCTTCATAGGTACCTGTGCTCCTCCGCTTCCTTATGCTACCTACTATCAGTTTCCATAATTACACAGTTAAACAAGTGCTGGCGCTTTGCAGGAGGCACATAGGCTGATGCAGCAGAAGAGGGTATGAGCTACCACAAATTGCTATCTGGCTTTTTTTAGGATCACTGAATATACTTAAAAGTCTGGTTTGTGACATTTAAAGCTGAACTGAAGTGGTCTGCTTACACTCTCATGCCCTGCAGAGTCTCCAGCTTCTGACACAGTCAAGACTTCATTGCCTAAGTGACAGAAGAATGCTATTTTCACACATCACAAAACGAAGAAAAGTTAGGACCCAATCTGTAGAACTTGCTACATTATGTAGAAATAGCAGAGAAAGTGTTCATTTTTCAAATAGAATTTTCACTTCATCACACAGTCTAGCAAAAGAGAAACAGAAATATCAGAAGCTCATGTATCTGGCAAGACACGCTGGGTAAAAAGCAAGTTCTGCATTGCTCATGTCTAACATACTGAGCTGCCCTTTCAGTAACTATGAATGAACTGTTGTTGCTTATTCCTGTAGAAGTCCAAAATAGCCTTTCTGGCCACAAGATACTGTGGAAATTTACTCCAGAGCTATATCCTTCTATTATTTTCACTTCTTCCCCTATCATAGTAAACAGGCTGAATGCACACAGTGCATAAACACCTACTTGCATATCTGTATTTTGAAGTGAAGGTAACAAACAGCTGTCCAGCAAAACCAAGTCACATTCATTCCATGTTGCTTTTTAGACCTGTTATTTTAAATCTGTGTTAAATAGCTCTAAGGCAATAAAACTCGAAGTAGCTATAGTCCAACTGATTTACAACAATATGCCTTATGCCAGTACCATCCTAACATCATAACTTGTATTAAAGGCCAAGAAACTACTAGAGCGCGCTGCATTTTGTGATTAGAAACGGAGAAGCAAAGTACTGCCACTCACATAGCTTCATTCCTGAAGAAATGCTTAACAGTGAACTACTTATTACCATGACTTGAGTGCAACAAGCCACCACTTCCTTTCACCCCCACCCCATCGTTCATAGGAGTTTAATTGTTGGGTGAGAGGAGGGGTTTCAGAACAGTATCTACCAATAACAAAGCCATGCATAGAACAAGCTATCATCTGTCAACCTTAAGTATATCCACCAGGCTGTCCTGCTGTATTCTGGATTAAATGCTGCAGCTGTTGCAACTTCAACCTTTCAACCCTCATTGGGAAGTAACACTGCCTCCCTGACAGCTCCAACTCCCTTGAGTCTTCTTGAAGAGTCACTGGAAAATTTTTTTACAGTCACTCTTAATTTCCAGAGCAAACCCTGAGCTTTTGAAATAATTCTGTAAGGCCTTCCCAAAAATTGCAAGAATATTACAAGAAGAGTCATCTACTGGGTTTAGTTAAGTGTCATTAACAGCAGTTGGCTCATCATCTTGAGTGCCATCACGTGGCGCATACAGGACAACCAGGTGATCAGGCCCACTCAGCATGGGTTTCTGAAAGGCAAGTCCTGCTTGACTAACCTGATCTCTCTTCTATGACAAGATGACCAGCTCAGTGGACAAGGGAAAGGCTGTGGATGTTGTCTATGTAGACTTTAGTAAAGCCTTTGACACTGTTTCCCACAGCATTCTCCTGGAGAAATTGGCTGCTCATGGCTTGGATAGGCACAGCTCTTCACTGGGTCACAAACTGGCTGGATGACCAGGCCCAAAGGGTGGTGGTGACTGGAGTTAAATCCAGTTGGCAGCCAGTCACAGGTGGTGTTCCCCAGGGCTCAGTACTGGGACTAGTTCCATTTAGTACCTTTATCAGTGATCTGGATGAGGGGATTGAGTGCATGCTCAGTAAGTCTGCTGACAACACCAAGTTGGGCAGCAGTGTTGTTCTGCTTAAGGGTAGGAAGGCTCTACAGAGAGATCTGGTGAGGCTGGATCGATGAACTGAGCCCAACTGTATGAGGTTCAACAAGGCCAAGTCCTGCCCTTGGGTGACAACAACTCCACACAAGGCTACAGGCTTGGGGAAGAGTGGCTGGAAAGCTGCCCAGTGGAAAACAACCTGGGCATATTGGTCGACAGCCAACTGAACATGAGCCAGCAGTATGCCCAGGTGGCCAAGGCGGCCAACAGTGTCCTGGCTTGTATCAGAAATAGTGTGGCCAGCAGGACTAGGGAAGCGATTGTCCCTCTGTGATCAGAGCTGGTGAGGCTGCATCTCATTGAAGACCATGTTCAGTTTTGGCCCCTTCACTACAAGACAGGCATTGAGGTGCTGAAGTATGTCCAAAGAAGGGCAACAAAGCTGGTGAAGGGTCTTGAGCATACGTCTTATGAGGATCAGCTGAGGGAACTGGGGTTTAGTCTAGAGAAAAGGAGGCTGAGGGGAGACCTTAACCCTCTTTACAGCTACCTGGAAGGAGGTTGGAGCAAGGTGGGTGTCAGTCTCCCAACTAGCAATCAAGAGGACAAGATGAAATGGTCTCAGTTTGCACCAGGGGAGGTTTAGATTGGATATCAGGAAAAATTTCTTCACCAAGAGTTGCCAAGCACTGGAACAAGCTGCTCAGGGAAGTGGTTGAGTCACCAGCCCTTGAGGCATTTAAAAGACATGTAGGTGTGGCGATTAGGGGCATGGTTTAGTAGTGGACTTGGCAATGCTAGGTTAACAGTTGGACTCTATTTTAAAGGTGTTTTCCAACCTAAACGATTCCGTGATTTACGTGAAAAAGATATGTGCTCTTTTGGGTTTTCCTCCTTTCATTGTCAGTATTTTTACCCCCTCCTGCTTTGCAAGTGTTTCCAACAACATCCCACTAAAGTGGAAATCAACTGTTTACTTTTTACTCCCTAATTCAATCAATGCAAGTTTCAGTTAAACATAATGAACCAAAGTTGCTAAATTAACAAATGATTAAATTGTTGATTTTGCTGACTTCAATGGAAAAAGAGAACCTTACCCACAAGTCAGCTACAAAGCTACAAAACAGTGAAAAGACAAGGCAGAGCTGCCCATAAAGGGTCTTTTCAAAACAAAAATATTATTCATAACAGTATTATTCACAGAGAAAAAAAAATGTTCTGTTTATAAAGTGTTTACAAATATATTTGTACGGCCTACAAAAAAATAATTAAAACAAGAGAATAAATCAACATAGTTCTTTAAACAGAATCGTAATGAATCTGAAACAACTTTCCGTATCTTATGTAGGACATTCAGCCTGGCACACACATGAGAATGTAGCATCATTAAGAGTGTACCTAAAACATCTCTTAGGAACCTAAAATGGTCTTTAATTATACAAGTGTCTTCTCACCATCCCATCCCCCAGTGCCTGGCTTCATTCAGTGCTTTGAAGAGAAAGTTCTGTAGTCGACAGACTTCTCAGTGAAGACTTTGTTAACCTGGTTTAGTAAACAGAACCATTGCCTTGTTTACAGAAGAAATTATTCTGGGTGCATTTTTAATGGTGACAGCATTTTCCAGCTCTCCTTATTTTAAAAAATAGCTGAGTGCTATAGAAAGTTAATCAAAGGAAAACAGACTCCTACAATGCAAATATTGCACTAGAAAATTCCCATAGTCAGAGATGCAAGAGAAAAGGCAACTGAGAAGACACAGTTCAGATGTAAAATGACAGTCCCATTCCAGCTTATTTATCACAACACAAGACCCAGCATCTTGACTTAAGCCCACCAACCCAAGTGACAAAGGTCACAGCACCCTTAGGTCAAGGTCAGTCAGGGTTAAGCAAAACAAGCAGGACAAAGCTAGAACTCAACTAGTTCAATTCCCTCCTCTTTCTAAAAAGCTTAGTGATCCACACAGGGGAAGGGGTGAGTAACCCAGCATGACAATGCCCAACGTTCACAGTGTTAGCTGGTCACTCTTCTGAAAGTAATCAAGCAATGGGATGTATAAGTGTTGTAAAAAGATTGATGGGCATTTTTTAATAGGAATCTAAGCTGACTTCCACTGTTCAACTTCCCACCCCTGCCAACCCAGAGCTACGATTTCAGAATTAGACAAGACAGACTCTGTTACGGTATTAAGAGATCTCAGAGATCAGCCTGCATCTCCTGTGGACAGATGGGTCCACCCTAGCTCCCACCAACCCACCAGAGATGCATTTGGGTATATGACAAATTAGCTATACAATCCCAGAGGCTAATTTTTATTTCCCTTGGTGGAATCAGGGAACCAACATCCTTGTCAGGGCTGCATCTTTACTTACAATTAGTCTTTATTCTGCTGCTTCAGTAAGTGGGGTCTCTGATATGAGCCACTATCTCATAGCCTCTGTTTATCTTTCAACTTACATATGCAGTTCATGCAGCCATGCCACAGAATAAAATAATCACACAGGAAACTACAGTTGGTGGACTGGGCAATCACACAACCACATTATAATTGTGGTTTTTGTAACGCTTGTAAGCCTTCCTTTTGCTTTCTTGCTTAAAATTAGGTTAATAATACAATGCAGGAAGCATTTCCATCAATCCTACGGATTTTGTAAGGCACCTTTGACTGTTACTAAAGTAAATTATTAATATTTACCTAAAAAGTGGTTACTACTAAATTGAGTACTACTCATCTTAAAACAATCTT